CTGCTGTTTGTGTGCTCAGCGGACTTTTGCTCCTGTCCCTCGGCCTACTATGGTTAGTTGTGTACCTATATTGTGAGCTATACCATAATAGATCATCGGCGAAAGTCAGAAACTGCGTATGCAGCTGCAATCACTACCATGAGAAAGCACCAAGTGCAAATATTACCACCCTGTAAGGATTATTTATATTAGACCTTTTTTTCTACTTGTCTTTCTTTCCGCTTGAGATAGATATTTCGACCTGCGAGCTTTTATCATTCTTCCTATATATATCTTGTGTGTGTGTGACTTAGTTAAAGAGCTGCATCAACCTGAATCATTGATTGTAACACGAATCAGTTTTTTTACCAACCAATGAATCTGAAAATGAAAAAGCAGAGTTTTAACGAGTCTTTCTATACATGCAATTAAAACTTACAATTGTTCATCCTTTATTTCCCCTCTGCCTCTTTCCTCCTCTTTTATCATTATTCTTTCTTCATACTTTCAGTTTCAGCAATTAGATGCTCATCAAAGACGGCATTCTTGGCTTGGAGATTACCATCGGAATCTTCCTCACTGCTCCATTTTCTTACGAACTTGGGAACCATGTTTTTCACATCCCGGGCCTCTGACACTTGATCCATATCATTAACTCGTTCGAACCGGACTGCACTCACTTTTCTGGCATTCCCTGCTAGTACCTCTAGTCTATAAATTTGGTGCTTCTCCTTCTGATCTTGACGCTCCTGCTTACCCTCGTCTTGTTCATCATTCTCTTCCCAGTTTTCCTTTTCAAGAACTACCGTCACACTCTCACCTGTCTTTGGGATATACCCAAAGGCCTCACAGACAAAACCTGAGACTGTCTCATACTGATGGCCCTGCGAAAAGGGGAACAAAAGGATAGTTTATACTCTGCCAACAAGCAATCTTAAAGATCGGTTCTTCTTTCTAGAGGGACACACTAACGACACGGCTACAGAGTATATTACCTCTGCCATCTTTATGTTGAGTTCTTCAGATAACTGGTCTATCGAAGTGTTGGCATCAACATCATATATCCCCTCTGCTCTCATCACGATATAACCCGTTTTCTTCTGAATTTCCTCCTATTGAGCCCAAAACAGTGCAAGTGAGAAATTTGAATCTCCTCTGCTCTCATATATAACCCGTTTTGTTCTGAATCTCCTACTATTCAACCCAACCTTGAAGAATGGCAACAAGCTGAAACACTAGGATGAGCTTACCTTTGAATCGTTTTCATCAAATATTTCACCAACAATCTCTTCGACCACATCTTCAAGAGTTACTATCTGCATGGAGAGAAATTAGACAACCTTTCAAGAGAGCAGGAGAGAAAAAATAAAGTTAAGAAGAGGACAACCAGCAACATACTCCGATGGTTCCACCGTATTCATTAAGAACAACTGCCATGTGAACCTTTCTTATTCTAAACTCTCTAAGAAGATTCCAAACTGACATCGAATCTGCAAATTATTGACATAACATGAAAGATTATTCCATGTGAACAAAGAATGTCAAAGGTATATGTATTAAATTAAAAGATTGAATGCATCTATGATTACCAGGGACAAAGAATGCAGGTTTATGAGCCATGTCCACCACAGTGGTACTTTCAAGCAATTTACCCTGCAAAACAGAAGAAACATATAAATTCATTCCACAAAAGTGCACCACTATGGTCTCCTCGCACGCCA